TCGTTCTAGTTGTGGTAGTGGTAGAGGTAGTGGTTACGGTAGTGATGCTTGTGGTGGTGGTGGTGGTTGTTGTTGTTGTTGTATTGGTGATGATGGTAGTGGTAGTTGTGATAAAAGTAGTTAATAGACAATAAATAAATAAAATATATTATTATTTAAAAAAAATTTAAATCATATTTCTTATTTTTATTCTCACATCTTATGTTGGAATGAAGTTTTGTGTGTAAATTTTCATTCCCATTTTCACTTTTTATTCTCATTCTCACTTCATTCCTTTTAACAACAACAATATGGAAATAAGATTTTCATTCCTATCACTATATTCCCGATTACCAAACAACACCCTAATGTTTTACAAATAACAAGTTTGAAATGAATAAAAGTTCATAATGAATCAAAATTTTATAAATTGAAAACATAAGTATCATACTAGCAAAAACTTATTAATTATTTTATTTTTCATACATTTATAGGATTTTTCTAGAAAATTAATTTGAGACTTCAAAATAATAATAAAAAAAACTTATCATATAATTGTTTGAAAGAATAACCGTAAATGTAGAGAGACAAAGAACATAAATGTAGAAAGTTTCTTAGGATCTAGAGTAAATAAATACTAAATATAAACTTAGTGTTATATTTTTTCTTATTTTCTTATTTTTATGTTTTTAAAATATTATATTTATCATAAATAATATTAATATTAATTTCAAGTCAAATTACTATTGGACCAAAATAACATAGATCTATATTTGACCAATTTAATGAATAGATTAAAAAATTTAGATTATAATCATACTTGAATAATAAAAATATATTATATTTATTTAATTACATCGAAATCAAATCGGATTTAATAGAAAATCTGATTCATTGATAGTACGATTCACAAACCTATGGATGAATTAAATATAATAATAAAAAAAGCAATAATCAGAGTCAAAATTGATACTTTAATTAACCATTAGCATACACAAGAGTTTTGAATTTATTTTTTTTCCACTTCGACACATAGCTGATTTAATTTGTCTTTTATTATTTTTATTATTATTATTTTACCTCTTTAGTTAGTTAGTAGTTACTACCCCTCTTTCAAACCAATTAATCAGCAGAGCCACGTGATGTAAATTAATTCTGGGGTGCCGCTTGCCTAGTAGTTCTGGTGAGGAGGATGCATAGTTATTCTTCCTTTTGGTGAAGAAATGTTTTTAAGTGAAATGGAACCTAGCCATGATGTCTTCTTTTATACTTGGTCTCTCTAACATCACACGTGCTTGCCTATAGACATGCACGTATATATGATTATATATACGATACGAAGGCCAAAAAATCTAACGTTGCTGGCCTCACTAGCTACTCGGCATGCTTGACTTGAGTAGCCCGCCATCTCACGAGCCTTGTATAAATGTTAATTAAAACCAAAGAATAAGAAAATAAAAATAGAAGAACTGTCCAATTCGAGCAAGGAAATTGATTTTGGGAATGTAGAATTTTCGTGAAGTGGACTTAAAATAAGTGGGGTTTAAAGCAGTCAAGTAGAGTGTAATTTACTCCACGTATGGAATTAGTGGAAGAAAGGCCGTAAAAAAAGACGTTTCCAACTTGATCTTTTAGAATTCAAGATGATCCCAAGAGAACTGGAAAATATGGTAGTCAATACTAACTAATCACTTTATATTTTCTTACACTGATCTATTCAATGTCGATGGCTCAATTCTCAAGAGACTTCTTTATCTTTTCTTCACAATCTTAATTACTTATATTTTAACTCAAGAAAAAGAACATATATATAGAAAGTAGATGAGTAAATTTTCCTATGATTGGTACAAAAAAATAATCCTAGATGCTTGTTTGGTAATCGAAATAGAGTGGTGGGAATGAGAATGCGGGAATCGGAATGCAAATTAAGAAATCGAAATGACATTTGTATTCTCATACCGTGTTTGGAATACTAATCGAAATCGAAATGCAATTTAAATTTTTTAATATCTGATTTTTTATATAAATAAAAATAATGATTAAAAAAATAATTTTATCAAACAATAATGGTTGTAAAAATAATACAAATGATGGTGGTGGTTTTAGTTGTGGTGGTGGTAGGGGTAGTGGTTACGGTAGTGATGCTTGTGGTGGTGATGGTAGTTATAATGGTGGTGGTGGTGGTTGTTGTTGTGTTGGTGGTGATGGTAGTGATAGTGGTGATAAAAGTAGTTAATAGACAATAAATAAATAAAATATATTATTATTTTGAAAAAAAAATTTAATTCATATTTCTTATTTTTATTCTCATATCTTATGTGGGAATGAAGTTGTGTGTAAATTTTCATTCCCATTTTCATTTTTTATTCTCATTCCCACTTCATTCCTTTTAACCAAACAACAATAATGTGGAAATAAGACTTTCATTTTCATTTTCACTACTATATTCCTCATTACCAAACAACATCCTAATGTTTTACAAATAACAAGTTTGAAATGAATAAAAGTTCATAATGAATCAAAATTTTATAAATTGAAAACATAAGTATCATACTAGCAAAAACTTATTAATTATTTTATTTTTCATACATTTATAGGATTTTTCTAGAAAATTAATTTAAGACTTCAAAATAATAATAAAAAAAACTTATCATATAACTGTTTGAAAGAATAACCGTCAATGTAGAGAGAAAAAGAACATAAATGTAGAAAGTTTCTTAGGATCTAGAGTAAATAAATACTAAATATAAACTTAGTGTTATATTTTTTCTTATTTTCTCATTATTTTTATGTTTTTAAAATATTATATTTATCATAAATAATATTAATATTAATTTCAAGTCAAATTACTATTGGACCAGAATAACATAGATCTATATTTGACCAATTTAATGAATAGATTAAAAAATTTAGATTATAATCATACTTGAATAATAAAAATATATTATATTTATTTAATTACATTGAAATCAAATCGGATTTAGTATAAAATCTGATTCATTGATAGTACGATTCACAAACCTATGGATGAATTAAATATAATAATAAAAAAAAGCAATAATCAAAGTCAAAATTGATACTTTAATTAACCATTAGCATACACAAGAGTTTTGAATTTATTTTTTTCCACTTCGACACATAGCTGGTTTAATTTGTCTTTTATTATTTTTTTTATTATTATTTTACCTCTTTAGTTAGTTAGTAGTTACTACCCCTCTTTCAAACCAATTAATCAGCAGAGCCACGTGATGTAAATTAATTCTGGGGTGCCGCTTGCCTAGTAGTTCTGGTGAGGAGGATGCATAGTTATTCTTCCTTTTGGTGAAGAAATGTTTTTAAGTGAAATGGAACCTAGCCATGATGTCTTCTTTTGTACTTGGTCTCTCTAACATCACACGTGCTTGCCTATAGACATGCACGTATATATGATTATATATACGATACGAAGGCCAAAAAATCTAACGTTGCTGGCCTCACTAGCTACTCGGCATGCTTGACTTGAGTAGCCCGCCATCTCACGAGCCTTGTATAAATGTTAATTAAAACCAAAGAATAAGAAAATAAAAATAGAAGAACTGTCCAATTCGAGCAAGGAAATTGATTTTGGGAATGTAGAATTTTCGTGAAGTGGACTTAAAATAAGTGGGGTTTAAAGCAGTCAAGTAGAGTGTAATTTACTCCACGTATGGAATTAGTGGAAGAAAGGCCGTAAAAAAAGACGTTTCCAACTTGATCTTTTAGAATTCAAGATGATCCCAAGAGAACTGGAAAATATGGTAGTCAATACTAACTAATCACTTTATATTTTCTTGCACTGATCTATTCAATATCGATGGCTCAATTCTCAAGAGACTTCTTTATCTTTTCTTCACAATCTTAATTACTTATATTTTAACTCAAGAAAAAGAACATATATATAGAAGGTAGATGAGTAAATTTTCGTATGATAATAAAGTCTTGGTACACTATCTTTCCATTCCAATTTCCAAGCAGTGAACTACGGAGAGAGAAAAGAGCACCTAAAGTGAAAAGTCGAACGAAGAGTCAACCGAATCCCAACAACTTTTTGAAAATGAGAATGTACCCCATGTTCTATCAGATTTTGCTGAATTTTAGGGGCCACTGACGGTTCAAAAGTTTGTGTTTTGCATAAACGAGGTCTTTATAACCTTGATTAATCCTCGTTAAGTCAACTTATAAATAAAACACCAAATTCAAATAACTATTAATTGTAGTGTTAACAATTTTATAATCCATAATGGTTTTACCCACGGCAAACACCCAGCTCCTAATCATTTCACGATCAAGATCAAGGGTATTGCCATGGACATGCAGAGGTTAATTACTATCAACTTCTCCAACAAAAGGAAAACAGACGGTACTTTGGCTGTGGATGGGTGTGGTAGTACGCGTTTTCCGCCTTTTCGGGGGCTTTGCCTTCAACAAATAAAAAGTCAAGTGGGACGGCAATTCTTGACGACCTCAAAAGCACCGTTTCCCCGTCTTTTCATGTTTACACTTTCCAATCTCATTCCATGAGCCCACTAAAGTTTCGTACTATAATTTTCAAGCAAAAGGCTCTTTATGGCCTGAAGTGGAGGAATGAAAAATCCTCTTGTTTATTTCAAAGTACATTGTCAAATTAAACACATTGACGTATATCTAACAAATCATTCACATCACAAGGGCATTGACAACGAAGTACAGTATATTTTCTTTGAATCCAAACACTATAAATCGAAAAAGCAAAAAGATTTCAATATAATTGATGCTATGACATATAAAATAATTAATTCTCATTCATATATATATAGGATTCTTGAAAATAAATCAATCCTATCTATATATACTTCTTAGTGTCTGTACAATAAGAAGAGAAATACACTTACTGTGCACTACTAACTCCTCAAAACAAAACGGGAAGAACTAATTAAACAAAAGAAAAGAAAAAAATCAAAACTGTAATAACTAACAAATAAGACTTGTGTCAGGATTGTGAAAAATGAAGAGAGAATATATAATTAATGACCAATACCAGGACTTGGAACAGACCGTAGAATCCGATCGATGCTAGCAAGATGCCTTGCAAAGAGCTGTTCGTTATCTAGTGTGGCATGACCCTTCTTGCTAGGGGAAGATGATGGCACTGTACCCTTAGGAAGGGCACTAAGAATCAAACTTGCAAAAGAACTGACACTGCTAGTACTCTCCATCTTCTTGTTCTTGTTGTTCTCCTGTGGAGTACTAGTACTCATCATTAACTTTCTGCCCTCTATATTTGACACAAATGTAGCAAAAGAAACCAAGAAAATGATAACCACAGCACCCAAACGAGCCATAGATATTGTAGCTAGCTAGGAATCTTGAAGAGAGAGAGAGAGAGAGAGAGAGAATGTAATCTGGGTTTTGTTGTTTAAGCAAGAAAATGTAATCTTGGTTTGTTTTAAAGCAGAGAAACTGCGAAGGAGCTCTAGCTTAACAAGTTTGAAGATGTTTTGGAGTGTTGGTATGGGATTATGCATATATATATAAATATATATACACACAGACAAACATCACAAGTATTAATTATAGAATATAGAATGAGAAATTCATGCACCGCGTGACGGCTGGAGAGAGGGAGACAGAGCGTGGAGATCAAGTTAGGTGCAGGCCAAGTCAAAGATTTATAGGGTTTGAAATTGAATTAAGGTGAGAAAGAGAGATTGGGCTAGTAGTCATGGCTAGTGAGTAGCTCTAGTGTTGTGTTTTCTCTTTGTTTTAATTCGAAATGCCAAAAAATGAGGTATAAACGCCGCGTGGCGCAAAGGTTGGTGAGTGTGATTTAACACGCCGGCCAGTGTTTTCTAGTTACTAACTTAAACTTATGTCACCGTCTAAGATGCCATACTTAATTCTAACATTTAATGTTTCCTCAATCGACTTGTACTTAATTAGTTAGATCCTCTTTGGTTTTGGTTTAAGACTTGATTCAGCTTCTCTTGTAACTGTCACGTCAGTTTAGATTTTGAAAACGTTTATTTAATTTCTGGATTCAAATTGCCAACTCTTGAAATAATTTATTAAGTTTATTTAACCATATCAAAACAATAGGGAGAGAATATATATGCTTTTAATTTTTTTTTTTTAAAAAAATCAATGTCAATTGAGGCATAATTCAAAATATTTTTATTGTTAAATAAATAAAAAATCCATAATAGAGTTATCGGCAACGTTGCTTAAACACCATAACTTCATTGAGTTATATGTCACTATCTTTTCATATGGTGAGCTATGAGATGCCGCATCAATAGTAATAGCAGGCCAAAATTAGGCAGGAATGTTAGGTGCATTTGATTTTATGAAACTTTATTCAACTACTTGATTCTATTCCATTTTCATGGTTGAAAAAAATAAATAAATAAGGTGACGCCGGCCTTATGCTAAATTAATTAAGTATCTTAATTAATTAATGGGATGACATTAGTGAAGTATGTATAGTTTTTCATTTTGTATATTTGAAGGTCTATTTGGCTTTTGAGCTTAAAAAAATAATGTAGTCCTTTCGATTGCTCTTTTCTTCTTCTTCTTCTTCTTCTAATAATAATAATAATAATAATAATAATAAAATAGATTTGATCCTAAAAGTTAATAATATATAATGTTTAATGACTTTGACAATTAAGATAAACTTATTTTTATCAATTAATTGATTTCATCTTTGTAGTTGTATTAAAAGTGATTGGCATGTAAAAAAAATCAATAAAAAAAAATCCGGTCTATAAGTGTATTGGATAACAACACAAAATAAGCAATTTAAGAGCTTCATTGATCCTTAATTTTCAATGAAAATTCTAATTTCACAAAATTTTAGCTGTTACATCCAGATTTTGGCAAATTTCATAAGAGTGAGAAAATGTTTGAAAGGAAGCATTTGCGTATGTTCCAACCTCATAAAAATTCATAGGTTTCTTCAGTGGTCCACGGACTACCAAAATGGTGACTAGTTTCTAACAAATCTTAATCAGCCACCACTAAAATATATAGAATTATCAACAACCTTCGGTAGCCTAGCAGATTGAAGGACTGTGAAGAAGCCAAAGCTTGTGAATCGGCAAACAACAAAAGTCAAAAAGTATAGCAGAAAAAGATCAAGTAGGTCCCAGCTGACGATCTTAAAATTTGGAAATGAAAAGAAGGTTTTCCACTTAAACAAAGCCTCAATAAAATTGTTAACCGAAATGGGTCAATCAATTGCTTGTTAAATGGTTTTTGGATTCACAGTCACGTGGCATTCTTCTCAGTGTGCATTTCATTGCCCATGTTAGGCTCCTCGATTACTTTCCTGGAAACAGAAATTTCCTGCCACTTGGTGTTATTTCTCTTCTTCTTCTTCCTCTCTTTGTTTGGTTTCACTTTACTTCATCTTACAATGTTATTAAACCCAACTCGAATATGGATTGAGTCGAGCTACTGTATTATTAGATTACTAGTTCAGCTGGTGGATTACTAAATGGTCTGCTGGTCAATTATACTATTATATAAATATATTTTTCTAATATATGAAGCATAAATAATAAATGATGAAGTGATAAGTGTATAATTTTTTAAAGTAAAACTAAATTCAAACTCCATAAATTATATTTTCTTTTAATTTCTTTTTAAGCAGGCCAATACTTAATTAACCACTTATCCAACTGATTGGATTTTACCAGTCTAGTTGAGTTTAATTGGTTTTAATATTGTTTCTTGCGAGTTTCGATCCTTAATATCAAATTGAACCAGTTAAAGTAGTTTGGTCATTGAATTTTCGATCCAACCGGCTGTTAGATCTAGGTTTAATAACATTGAATTTTTAACTATTATTCACATGCCTTGGTTAAGTTTCAATTTTTCTTGTTTGGCCATGGTTAAGTAATGTAAATTTGTTTCCTCTTCCAACCATGTGCTAAATGGAGCTCTTTTAACTGTTGTTGTTAAACTCATCCTAATTCGATAGCTTGATCCAAAAATCCAATAATCCAAAATCTAATCCAGATTAGATTTATAGTTGAACCAGTTAGAACATCGATCCTTGATCCAGTTAAAATCAAAGTCTGGATAACCCTGTCATTATCCAACTGAAATCTAATTGGATCAAAAATAATTTTTTTTTTTTTTTTTTACGTTCACTTTTAATTATTTTACTAAAGAAAAATAAAAATCTTTTCTTCAAGTAAACCTAGTGACCGACCTATTGACCAAGTAATATGATGACTAGGATACTTATCTGAATCAAGTTCGATAGTTGTGCCTTTAATTCAATCTTCCATTCAATTATAAGTTATGGATTCTACTATGTTTAAGACAATTTAAATTTTCGTGTAGAAATAACTATGGATTCAAATACATATATAATTAACTTATGTAAGATTCAATAGGTATTATGAGTTTGATGTTAAAGATCACACATATAGATATAGAGAAATTCATAGCAACCAAAAGGACAACAATCACATAGTACAATGATTTTACATAGGATTGTAATTATATTTATAAATGAAGAGCAAAAATTTATATAGTTAGAATTAATTTAGTTTTGGAAAAATCTCAAATCAAACTCCAAGTACACCAAATCTTCATAACACACAATAGCTCATAAGAGCACACAATTTGATCCTATAGAAAAATAGGCCTAAACACATATTTATAAGAAATATATCTTAATCCTAATGGATAGAGGATTAGTTGCAATCCTAATTTGACAAGTACTACAAAAAATAGGTAAATATCGATTGACATATCCGTTACTAAAACCAATATTTAATTGGTTATTTAGGTATAACGACGGAACAATGACGAAACTAAATTGTCAATAAAGTACCTGTTTTTAATTTTTTTAGCGACATATTAACTAGTTTATTGCTAACTAGCGATGAACATTTTGTCGCTACTTCGAGGTATTTTCATCATTATTTTATTGTAACCATTCGTACGAATGGTTTGAGTTCCTTTGCTAAATAGAGATGAAAATCCATTGCTAATTTCAATCACTATCTCGTCGCTAATAGTTAAATTTAATTTTTTTTATCGTTGGGGTGTCGCTAATCCATCACTAAATTAAAGTTTTTCTTTAATCGTTCATAGGTTTTTAGATGTTCTGTCATATTAGCCAACCACTAAAATTAAAATCACAACACAAAATATTATTAAATAATATTATATTAATATATATATATATATATATATATATATATATATATATAACAATACGATGCGGTATAAGAACACGTAAAATTTTTTTTATAAAGAAAACTAGTCTCCATCAAGATCATTTACTATTTCATCTTTCAAATGCTAGGTATTGGAAGGAAAATCGGACTCTGGATGAGGGGGAGGGAGGGCTAGAAGGTGTCGCTAAATCGACATTTGGCAATTGTTTTCTAATCTCTCTCTATTTAGCTATGAATTTGGAATCCATTGCTAAGATCCATTGCTATTTGCTTTGTAGTGAAGGTTTTTCATAAAACACTAAATCCCGATGATAGACCACAAAATAAGGGATTTAATAGTGCCTTAAATCAAGAAATTACAAATGTATAAAATTTTCCTTTATGTGCATATCTTTTTTAATCTTTGTATTAATTAGCTAAATATTACTTCTTAGTATAGCTCATAGAACTTTATATTTCTATTGCAATTTCTCTATCAATAAAGTAAGCAATTCATATAGAAAATCTTTATGATATTAGAGTCCTCTCTATCATAGAATAGAAAAATTCCTTCCCGAATTCTTCAATCTAGTTGTCTTCTTCTACCTTCACTACCAATAACAATGGTTGATCAAGCTTCCCTTACACACTTAACTACAACCTCTAAAAATTCAGCGAGTAATTCTCGATCCTACAAACTTATTAACTCAAGGTAATATTACACTATAAAAAAAATTGATTTTAGCGACGGACAAATCGTCGCTAAATACAATAATTCGTTGCTAATTGCAAATAGTGACGGATAAAATTTCGTTGCTAATTCGCTGGTCGCTAAATTTTAGCAACGGAATATTAAGTCCGTCGCTATATTTAGTGATGGAAAATCCTTCACTAAACCCAAAAAATTTGTCGCTAAAATTGACTTCGGATGGCTCTCCTTTTAGGTACCTAATCCATCGCTAATCTATCGCTAATTTGGAAAACAAATCCATCGCTAATCTATCGCTAATTTCGAAAATAAATCCATCGCTAATTTTGAAAATAAATTTGTCGCTAATCCATCACTAATTTCTATCGCTAATCCATCGCTAATCTGTCACTAATTTCGATAATAAATCGTCGCTATTCCATCGCTAATTTCTATCACTATTCCGTTGGTATTTTCGAAA